ATATTTGAACCGTTTCCACCTCTCGTTTAGGTACGCATTTCCTTCAGAGTGACAACAAAGCGTAGTATAGTCGAAAAGCAGAATACAAATTGCTTTGAACTGAAAGCTCAATTACAAGAACTCTTTGGAAGCGATAGAACTCCTGGAAGTACTGCAGGACAACTCCCCAGACGCTGAAAATAAATTCTTCTTTTGGAAATCAACATTTGTCATTATCTTATGCTCTCTTTTATATTTTCTTATCCTTCAACAAATTAGAGCTGACCGTTACATTGAATCACTGCAAAGATGATTGAGAGTTACCTGTGCTTAGAATGAATTCAATTTTTCCAGTTTATTGTTAGTGGCATATACGTTTCCTTCTTGGCAGTAAAACGACTTACTAATATGTTTCTTAGGAGAAACCTGATATGGACACGCCACTGTTTTAATGTGTCTCGCCTGCACTACACGTAACGAGATCTACCGAAGTCTGCACACGTCTTGCAACTAAAGGTTGAACATGTGACCCCCCTACGGCAACTCAACCACCATTACAAGTTATATCGGCTTCAAACTACGTTGCTATAGCTCGAGGCCAATGCATTCGCTTGGTTATCGAGAAGGCAGGCATTACGAATCTTGAACACTGTGACTAATTCTCCCGGACGACCAAATGTCGATAATGCATTTGCAACTGCCTATGAATGATCGTTAAGAAATCCATTCAAGAACTGAAATTTAGTCGAATATCTAAATTGTACAAAGACATGAAGTGTTTAGTTATATTAAAAGCTGAAAGGAATGAGCATAGAAAATTTCTTGATCAAATTCTTATGAATTAACAGATCATACATCTCTTTTTACAAAGTTTTGTTCTTAGTTACTATATCACTATGTACATTTTATACGAGTTTACGCACGTAACATAATGAAGACAAACTGTTTATTCTATGAATCAAATTAATGTTTCAAAGGAAGTTTCAAAATGGAAAATCACCAAAAATCAGGAATTAAGAGTATAGATTAGTAATCCTATTCGGCACTCAACACAGATTTTTATAAATGCTTGAAAAAAAACTTCAATGAACGGAATAAAATGTGATGTAAGAATATTACATTTGCGAAATTCATAACATTAATTGAACTTTCTTCCTCGTTTCGATATCCGTTATAAAAGTTCATCCTACATACGCGCGCTGTTTTGCACGCTCACTACACATGCACACGCGAACATATGAAAGCATTTTCGAACACATCAGTGAAGGCAAACACGCATAAAAAGTCGTTAAAAGGATCACGAGGGGAGAAATCATTAAATTGTTAACCATCTCATAGTTTTGCAATGATATTCGAAATAAAATCCCGAAAATTATAAATTCTGGAAACATTTTTCTCTCAAACAAATTTATAAACATTTTCATAAACATTAACGTCGTTCATATTCTTAGAGTGGCATTTGGTACTTCATACTAAGGGCAGAGGCGAAGATATAGATGATGCGCTACTCAGTTTCAAATGAATTTCAAAATATTAGTAACCAAGATTCCTTTCGATACGCATAATACTAAAACACTAGTACTTTCTTATTGCACTACTGATGTCCTTACTGAGAGAATAACGCCATTCTCTATAACAAAATATGTGCATTGATAAAAAAGCTTTTCAATTTAATATTAATTTATAGACCATAGAACGAAACTGTAAAATTCTATTGATTATTCATTATTTAAATTTTTTGTTTTTTCTGAAGTGTAGTTAGAAAGAAAATTGGTTCAAAATACTAAAAATTATAGTTTTTTTAAATTTTATTTTTTTAAATTTCATTTAAGGCCGCATCAACATCTAGGTCATTAGCGACCACTAATGTAATTAACGGTGTGAAAACTATGAAGATGGCATGATGTGGTGATGATAGGGACTGAAAGAACGAACACAAATACAACCATGCCCGACGCGGAACTCGAACCCGCGATCCTTCGGTCCGATATCGGTTTCTGTTATCGTTGAGTTGAAATGTTGTTACTATAAAACTATAAATTAATTGGTATGATTTCCCATAGTGTTAGAGTCCATTCGCAAAATTGAAATTGTCGTGAATAAAAAGGAACAAATTTGATTTGTTCATATTCGTTGTTTGGATTGAAGTTCTTCAATTTAAGTGTAATTTATTCAAAAGTAATGTAGTACAATACTGTTTAAAACATACAGTTTAAAAATTATTCACTTTTTTGTAATGAAACATAAGTTAGGGAATAATTCGATACTAAAATAAAGTATTCTATTCTGGATTGAAATTTATAACTCTTTTTCAACCATTGCGCTAGCCTAATTAAAATCAGGTAGTATATTTAAGTATCAATGTATTATATTTGCCTAATAATCTATATCAATATCAAATGAAGTACTTCAATATTCCTTCAATACATCTCTTCAATGCATCATTTTACTTGCGAGTGGTACTGGTATTTCAGTGAAATTAATAACCAAGTATCTTATTTTTATTTTATCTGTACACCCAACCACCCCTTTTGTTCTAATGCGCACGGTTCGTGCAATAACCGGCTTTCAGGGTCGCTCGAAACCTCGCACGCAATTTATAGTCCTGTCCTCGACAAATAAACCTGCGTATGCCACGCGACGGCAATGAAGACGGAACACGCACGTGATGATTCAAGCGATGCATTTTACGGAGAATTCGTGCCTGCATGAAGGAGATATAGATGTTCAAACACATGAAGAAGGGACAGATATATAAGCTTCAAGTCCATCCAACGTTAATCTGCCCAATTCATTTTAAGGCAGGAAGAGGAAAGAAAGGCAGTTTTCACGTTAAGGAAAATGAAAATATTAAAGTGAATTGCACTCACATTGTTTTTTGTCAAACTTAGCAGAATTCCCTTTGGGTTTTTTCTGAATAAATATATGCAAAAAATCATTCTCTTGTGTTTTCTAAAAATTATTTTTCTTGCAAGTCCATACTATTACGCCGATGAACCCATAAAACACATATGCTCTAATAATTTTATTTTACGAATTTTGAAGTAACACTTAAAACATTTAAAAGTATCACTTCAATTTCAGTACTGGTTCTTCTTCATCATTAATCGTTATTTGAATCTTGAAAATTTCCACAATACAATGTAGTGGCCTATATAATATTTCTGTAGGAAATCTTGAATTCCCAATTTCAATTCATTTTGTTATATGCATAATATCGACATAATGCATAAAAATACTTGCATTATGTATATTCAGCCTCAGAGACAATAGTAACTGATGCTAGTTCTGTTATTACCGTGAGTTTAATATCTTGCAAACATCTTGCTCACTATATCAAGTTTATTCTCCATTGCCACGAGTTTAAACTACCATTACCAATAAATAAATTCATCTTTAGAATCGTCCAAAGAACTATAATACAATTTTCAACAAAACAAAGGAACACAGAGAATATAATGAATGCAATAGGCATACAAGCAAAACATGCATGCTACTCATGAAAATTACCTGAACTGTCTGATTGTTATCTCATGTATACCTTCATTATAACTAGTTACCTGACAGACGCCTTCTTACATTTGTAGGAAGTGTGTGGGGAATTTAAGTGCCTACGACTTATTTCGTAGCATCGCTCATTAGGGTTAAAATAACATTAATTTCCTCACGTAAAATATGATTGTAATTACGTAGTGAAAAACAATTAAGCCAAAGGAACTATCAGTTACGCAATGATACTCATAACAAATTAAACATGGAACAAATGAAAAATTAACAATTATCGACATCAAGCCAGAAATATAGGAACTCATCGTTACTTGTCAAAACTTGAATCTAAAAACATATCTGCAATATACAGGGCATACACCAATGCGTTTAATTTGCAATAACAACGAAGCCCAGATAAGAGCAAAAAATAAATTCTACAATACTATTAAAAAACCTTTTTGTTCTAAGAACATAAAACAAAGTTGATTCATTATACACTACAACTGGATTCAAATTAAAACTACATGTACGTGATTATTTCAAGGATCAAGTATTGGAGCCCCGATGAACAAAACATCAGCTCTTAGAATCCAGCGTTCCACCACGAGGGCAAAACCGTGCCAGGGCTGTCAAGTGCAGCGCGAGGAGCGAGGCGCGTGCGGGCCTCCCTCATCCCAACGGCGACACGGCCCGCCCTCCACGAGTCCCCCGGGCGTCGCGTGGCGTCGCGGCTGCTGCCTGCGACCGCGGGCGGCGCCGGGTGACGGGGCCGCGGCGCCGGGTCACGGCGGTCCCGCCCCCGCGCCGCCCCCGCCGCGCGGCCCTGCCCCATTTTTCGCGGCGGCGCGGCCCGCGGATTGCGGCACAGCGCCGGCGGCCTGGCGGCCGCCCGTGCGCTCTGACCCCTAACCCGGCGATGCGGCCCTCCGACCCCGGCGCCCGCGCCCGCCCCCGCCGCAGGACCACCCGAGGGGCGCCGAGCGACGCCGCCGCCTGCCTCCCGCCGCCCCAAGGGGCCGACCCCGTCGATCCGCCGACGCCGCCCCGCGCCGCGAAAAATACAGCTTCCGGTCAAGTCGCAGGCGCGGGAGGGGGCGACCGCCGCCCGCGCCGCGTCCGCCTCCGCCGCGACCGCGGCCGACACCGGGGCCAAATTCAGAGACCGAGGCGTCGGCTGTGGACCGAGGGGGGCCATGGCGCGTCCGCCAATGCGCAACACCGGCGCACCGGGTGGGGGCGCCGGGGCCGCGCTGGAGGGGGCAGACCCCGTGGCGGGGCACGGCTCGGTGTGGGGGTCAGGGGGCCCACAGTCGCCGGCGCGGGCTCGGGCAGGCGAGCAATGCAGGCGGCGTCCCAACCAGCGGTTTGCGGCGACGCGACGCAGCGCCGAGAGGGAGAGAAGCGACTTGCGAGCGAACCGCGAGTGAGAGAGCGTGGAGGCGAGCGCGACCTGGAACGCAAGGAGGCAGCTCTGCGAGCGGACTGACCCGCGGAGGGCCAGCCCGCGCCGGGCCGGCAGGCACAGGACTGGGATGCCGCGCGGGTAATTCGCCCGCGTGCCCGAGTGCGCGAGTGCCCGCCGCGTGTGCAGTGCGTCGCGTGTGTGAGCGGAGGCCCTCCGGCGTGTGCGTAGCAGCGACGTAGGCGACAGCGGCGGCGGAGCCTCCTCGCCCCACGAACTCGACCATTATTCTTCCTCACGGGGGCGCCCTGTGCGGGTGCTTACCACCTTACGACGCACGGGTTCTTCGTGCTCCGCAGCCAGGCCCGAAGTCGCCACCACGTTGGAGCTCGGCCTTCTCGCGGCAAGCATGGCGCTCGGTGCGCCGCCGGGCGCCTGGCGCGAGCCGCCGGGGGTGGGCTTGTCCGTGCTGCCCTTTCCGGGGCGCGCGGCGGGGGTGCCCAGTTCCCGTCGGCGTGCACCACCCGCGCGGTGGCGGGCGGCCAGCAGCGGCCGCTGCGGCGGCGGTGCGCCGCCCGACGAACTGCCCCCTGGGGCGGCGGCGAGCGCGCCGCCGGCGGCGGCATCGCCACCCCCGGCTCCGGCGGCGGAGGCGGGGGCGGGGGCGGCGGACGCGCAGACCTTCAGCAAAGTTCCACCCCCGGGTCGCAAGCCAACAGCACGCAGTCGGGGGGCAGCGGCCAGGGGGCGGATAAGAACCAGAACATCGAGTGCATCGTGTGCGGGGACAAGTCTTCGGGGAAGCACTACGGCCAGTTCACGTGTGAAGGTAGGTACAAGGCGGCGCAGACACCGTCAGTGCGTGGTGTGTGGAGTGTGGTTTTTTTGGTGTTCTCGAAGTGGATCGACGAAAGCACGTGTCAACGCCGGGGCACATGGCAAGAGTTGTTTCTCGAAAATTCAGTGCATTTTCATTATAAACAGATGACAGTGTAGTTCCCATATTCCAATCATCTCTGGAACGGAAATATAATTGACACCTTAACCGTGTACTTGAGGCAATGATATCAACTCGAGGAATGTTTCGCATAATTTGCAATATACGTAAATGAATGTTTGAAAATTACGCCTAGAAGCGCAGATTTGCACTTATAACACAGCGGAAACTATCTGACGCCTACTTTATATTCTGTTTGGTACGTTTTTGGAAGTATAGAAAAATATATGACAGTAAGGACTGCCTCTCCCTGAGTGTTTCCAAGTCGTGCGGGTTGACGAATTGTGGTCACGAACAGGGGCCGCTTATGATCTGATTCCGTTAGCACAGCATTTCGTTTGGCTAAATCACATTAATTCGTGTCAACTTTTCATGCGAAGAATATGAATTACTTATTAAGTACGTGACGTAAATGCATCCTAAAATGGTTTTATACGTGAGAGTTATAGTAGATAAATAGTGTGGTGTCTGTGCAAATTTTGCCTACAGCCAGCCATCCTTCTCAAGTAGTAATCAACCCTCCGACGCGAGGGAACGCAAACAAGTTCAGTGCCAACAGTTAATCATAATGATCGAAGTGGATGAGGCCGCGAGAAATTCGCCTACGCGAGACCTCTCCTTCCATCTTCGAAGAGTTCCGCAGCGTCAACCATTAGCCATCTCTGCCCAGTCGAAAAAACGCCACGTGGAAACTAGGAGCAAAAAAACGGAACGTTTAAGGAACCGGTTCGGTGATCGATCACGACCACGAAACCTACTGGCGACAAGCTCGTGGTTCTCACAGCTTCATGAGCCAATCATTGCATCCTATGAGAGTACGCAGTCAAGTCACCAAAAGAGGTGTACCTGGGACTGTGTATTGTGGTATTCCTTCATGAGGATAGCCTTAACAAATATTTCATAAATTGTAGTGAGTTATAAAATATTGTTGCAATACTTCTGGTAGTTTTAAGATCAACACATTCTCGTTTTCAAATTGAACAGTTCGGAATGACAGCACGAGCCTGTTGCTGCTACGCCGTTGTTGTTACACTATTTAGTGTAAACTATTGGATAGAATTATTAGGAAGCAGCAATGAAATACGAATTTAATACTAAATGTCACCAGCAAGCTTCATCTTCCAAAAGATTTTAAAAAAATATTAAGGATTTACTGATTATCGTTACTACTGACTATCGTTATTGAAAATGTCTATTGTAAGGATGGGTTAAAATATCTAAATAAATTTCAAACTGCAGTTAAATATTTTACATTCTCAGTGCCAAATAAGGTGTACACCGAGACATCTTTTGAAAAAATAATTGCTTGTAGTATTTTGCCCATTTCAAACTTCTCTTCCCGTCCCCTCTCTTCCCTTCCCTTCCCTTCCCTTCCGGGCGTCAGTGCGTGCGAGAACGACCTCAGAGAAACCGGGCAGGTTTATGAAAATCCGGAAACGCCGCTTCAAGGCTGCTCATACCCGCGGAGCCACCCCAGCGTGGCGATTACGCCTCGGTCTCCCTCAGATGGTATCGCGTCATTTACAAGTATGATGCGTCGTCCGCGGCGCCGGCGGTGGAGGCGGGCGCTGGGCGTCGCGACGCCGCGAGCTGGCGGGCGGGCAGGCAGCGTCGGGATGCGCGCGCCGCGGTCGCCGCCGGCGGCGCGGCCGCGTGTTCGTGCCCGGCGCGCGCTCAGTGGGAGGGTGTTTGCGATGAACGACCGGCGTCTGTCGTCGGAGAGGGCTTCGTGGCGTACGCCAAGGTTCTTTCAGTAGCACTGTCAAGTAATACGATAGTAGCGTTCCTATTACAAATAGTTCAAAGATGTCAATTTTCGTTAATGTGAAGGGTTGGTTTGCTAACGTTCCTTATTGAGGGAAATAGCTGCCGATAGGAATTTCCCGAGAGATGTCAAATCTCATCTAGTGATGTGTTGATTTGTGGATATTCACGTGAAGTTTGACTGCGACACTAGTTTAGTATGTGGGTGGATTACTGTACATATGTAATGTTTATGTGGATGAACGATGTGCTAGGTGAATTTGCGTACAGAGGAATGTGTGTTGAGAAGTTAGACCGTTCTGTATGAATTCAGCACATTGCACACACGCGCTACATCACTAGTGCATTAACTTAATTTTTGTGTACCTTAAAACCTGATACTAGTATTATTTATTAAACCAGAATATTTGTATCCGTTTAGATATTGACTCGTGTTTAGCGTCTAAATCACAAAATTCTCTTGAAAGAGATTTATATTATTAAGCAACCAAAGGAACGGGTTCACTTGAAATTTCATCGTTTATTAAATAAAAGCATGTACTTCTGTAAACTTGCTGGGTTAAACATTTTTTCTAGTCATTATTTGCACTCGTGAGATCGGATGTACAAGTTAAAACTGGTTCAAGAGATCGATCTTGCCTATTAAATAACTGAATGAATTAATTGAGTCTGGCCCAATGACATTTTGCATTACATGTTTTTCAGAATTTATTCGAAGCTCCCAATTTCATCACGTCATCATTTCTAAAGAGACGGAGATTATGTTAAAACCAGTTCTGATTTTGATAGTCTTGAAGTGATAATTTACATGATCCTTCGGATCTGTCAATTAGGTTCGAAATCGTGAAAAAGATCGTAAAAAGGACACATGTTGGGGACATCGGTTTCACGATTTGTTCCAATTTGTGGCAGAGCGCTGGAACGGAATTCCTATCTTCGTCGCCCACCCACTCAGAAATCTTGTATCCCTCTTTTTTTCGCGCCGCTTTTTCGCTCTTTTAACGCCCGCATTGTCGTGTCTGCGTCTACCTTTTTTTCTGCAAACCTGGGTATACGAACGGGGTCTTCACCCTCGCGCGAATTAACCGGCTCGTGGCTGGGAGAGGGCTGGTGTCCTTCCTTCAGCCGCGCTCCCTTCCGGCTTGGAGACCCCTTCGCCCGGGGAGAGGCGGTGCCGCACCTGTCGCTGGCCAAACGCAACCCTTTGCTGCCGGGACGCCCCGGGGGCGCATAATCGCCCCTGCGGGCGGTGGCAGGACGGGAAGTGCGGGGCGGGGCGGGGCAGGGCGGGCCAGCGACCGGCGCAGGTAGCGGGGGCGCGTCGGCGGTCGGGCGTACCTGCAGCAGACCTGTCGTCTTGACAAATGATGTTCAGCCGCCTCCCGACTTTTAGTAAAAAACCCGCAACCGCACCTCAGCCATTACCACGCCCGGTTTCGTCTCGTCTCCACCTGGTTTTCGTCCCGGGAGCTGCCCGTCCTCATTTCGTCCCCTTCGCCATGTTTTTCGTCTCGTTCTCTTTTAAGTCGGCGCTTTTGCCGTGCCCAACTGGTTCCCCCTCTTCGCCTCGCCACGAGTATCCATCATTTGGCTTAATTTCTTTGTTGAAAGGAACTCGAATTTATGTCGAGGCTACGGGTTATTAATTTCTCGTCGGCCCGGACGAGACCGGCGCCTATATGTGAGGTGCACGGCGTGGAGATGCGGTTTCTGTGTTCGTTATCCGAAAAATTTTCAATCCAAGTTCGGCTCGACATGTTTATGTTTCTCGCGAAGCGCATCGTTTGTTTTGACTCATCTGTTTTCCAGCGGGACTCGAATACATTTCCCATTTCCAGTTAGACGAACACCGCAAGATACAAACCATACGGAAGATGTGAGTTACGGTTGTGGTGAAGTGCTCTGCACAATCAGTTTTGCATTATCAAAAACTTTCACACACTGTAATTTTTGAACCCCTGATTTGTTGGCAAAAGTGAATGGATATTGAGCAATTACAGTTTGAAGCAAACGCACGTCTCCACGTCACCCCGCTTCAAGACATAAAGAGACTCTTACATTTGAGATTGTTAAGCAGTAAATGGTTAATTGCATGACATAATTTCTATAGTGTTGTGATGTCACTAATGAAATATTCAATAATCTTTGACCCTTAGAATATTAGATTGCTTTTGATGAAAGTAATAAAGAGCATTACAACTTGTCATTAATAGCCTACAGTTTTCATAGAGGAGTTGTATGTTACTTCTGATATTTTTGAATAACCAGTTCTAAACAAATGTTCTGGCCAATAGAAACCTAGTTGAGGATTACTTAATCTTCAATGTACATGTGTCATGTATCGTTGATATATTGTTGACGTATTGTAAAGTAAATGAATATGTAGTATTTAACGTGATGTTTCGTGGATTTCAAATCGATCATTTTCAATTATGTCTCAGTGAGGGAATCTTGACCAAAATTGATGTAAATTCCTGTGAAATGTATATAAAAAGCACGCAATGGATTTCAAAACTTAAGAATGCACGTTCCTGTATGTCACAAAAACAACAGAAAATGTTATAATGGCTATTAATAGCAAGGATTCTCTGATGAATGATATATTGAACAAGTCATTTAGAAGAATTCTGAAAACAACTAATACAAACTGAAATTATAAACACTTGCAGTAATACATTACAGTACGAGTAGATACAAAAATTAAACAACCGTCAGGTAGGTATACCATTTTTTGAACGTACCAGGAGAATCCAGGAACTGAGTATGGACGTATTACAATGTTTCAAATCATTACACTACAGAATTTGTAATATCTATATTTCTTCGGTGTTCAGTCTATCCGGGAACTGAGTATGGACGTATTACAATGTTTCAAATCATTACACTACAGAATTTGTAATAACTATATTTCTTCGGTGTTCAGTCTATCCCCAAGCTCAGTCCGAACAAGAAACCATTGTATCTCCTGTGCCGCAACGTCAACTAAGCGATCAGGCCGAGGTCTGCGGGAAGGAACCGCGCGTGCCGGTCTCCCACACCCATCCCACGCCCGCGGCGCGGCTCGGGCC